CATGTTTTCTGTCACTTTATGCATTTAAGATGCAAGAAAAGGTTGTGCTACTCTGTGATTTGGTTTGTTTTGTATTAAAATGATGTGACACTTCTTCCCATTTCCAAAAAGATTTTGCTTCAAGTGCTTTGGCAGAAGGAGGATCTTAAAGAGCCCTCTGCACTCTTTCCTGTTATGTCAGATTAACCCATCAGCTTTTCCCATCTGCCTGTCACTCAAGGCAGTACAATGAGGCTGTAGCCAAACTAGGGTCATAAAAAAAAAACCCATCAACAAAGCAATGGTCCCTCAGGGACTGCCGGGGGGCACCCTAATCTGGACCCCCACACCAACCCTTTGGGTGGTCTCCCTCCCCTCTCCCTCTTTTTACTCTCCACCTCCTTTCTACGAGAAGCCGATTTGGTTGGGTTGGGGGGCAATCACTCATATTCATTCATGCATGCACCCGGACTCCATGACCCATTTTTAATGCACGTGTATTAGCAAGCCACCATGCTGCTATGTGAGGCAGCAAATTCATCACAAAAAGAGAAGTTCAGGCAATGCTGGTAAATCATCAGCAGAAAGTACAGCAGTGCTACTTTCAGTTAGCAACACTGTGGAAAGAAAAAAAAAAAACCCATAAAAGTGAGTGAGGGACTCTTTGACAACTTCATGCAAATGTTCATTTCAGTCATTTTGTCATTCTAGAAGTGCTAAATGAATCACTTTGAAAGTGAGAGAGAACCTCATTCGCTTAAGCAACAGCAGTTCTCTAAAGCCCATCTGTCTACCAGTAACGGTGGCATTAGGTGACTAAATATGTAACTGTTGGTCTGTTGGGCAAAGGGGAAGATCCTCTTAAACACTGTGTGTGTGTTGCATACAGTGTAGATTGTGCGCTTTATTATTATTAGCAAGAGGAAACAATGAATGGATGAATGGAGATTGTGTATGTGTGCGCGTTTGTTTGTGTGTGTGTTGGGCTGATAGGGGGATTCCAGACGCAGGAACATTCATCTGGAACCGAAGACCCCGTCCTCGCAGCTCCACACCAGCGCGTGCATGTGCTAAGACACACACACACCCCATCTCGTTTTGTGGCCCAATCTAACCGAGGAAGGAAATGAGTGCTCGAGTGTGACTGCAAACAGATTAACATGTTATGTGCTGCTCTGTGTGTGTGCGCGAGTAGTTTCGGGGACTTCATAACTGCTGCTCATATGTGAAGGTGAATCCCCTAGCAAGTATTCTTTCCTCGACAAAAATGCCCCCGTCTAGTCATAAAAAAAGAAAAGAAACTATCACACCTACTTGAGACAAATCCTCAGTACAACCACATACACACTAAATATTGTGTAACACTATGCAAATTCTATGGTTAATCATGTCTTCATCTACTATGAATAATCATCAGTCAGGATGATAGATAACTGTGGAAATACTTATCTTAATCTAAAAAACGTACCCTGTATGATAATACTGAGAAATTATATGTTTATGGCGTGGCCTACGATCATTACTCAAACTGAATTTCTTTCCTCTTAAAGACTAACCCAGTTAAAAGCAGCTATCAGGTGTAACCTTTGGAACCGTAACTCATCTGTACTTTCCAATAACTGTTGCCTTAATAATGAAAGTGCAAGTTCACATCAGTGTTTCCAAGACAAAGACTTTACCTGCCATTCTGCCCACTTATGTGAATGCCTCCCAGGGTATTTGTTGAGTAATCTTAGCATTTAATTTAATTATTAACTTAAAATTGAACAACAATGCCATCCACAGTGGATCTACCAACAGACACGCCCTCCATTCTTATTTATTAAAGTCGCCACTAACACTTAGCTGACCAGAGCACATTTTATACTCCTCTATTAGGAGCAAGTCCAAGCTCATGTACATGCCTGACATTATTGCCAACAGAGTCTGAAACTGATGACTGAAAATATCACATCTGGACTTTAAGAAGACAACGTACACAAAGGTCACTGGGGCATGCATGCTGGGATGGTCAGCTTACTTGACATTTTTAATGGGTTTGGGGTTTTTCTTGAATCTGGAGATTTGTTTCATTAAACTGCCTTTAAAAGAAATGGTATTTCTCCATAAAATTGCCTACAGAGCACCAGAAGTTGTTACTGTGCAGTAGATGTAAGCATGTCGGCTTTGGCTGTCACACAGAGAAGAGCACCAATGACAATGCCACAGACGAGCAGAATCAAAGCTTGTCCTCTATCAGCTCAGCTTTCTCGACATTTATGTCACCTGCACCCAGGTGGATTATGGTGGATGCAGAAAAGTTCAACACCAGCCTATCCAGGTGCATGCACTTTTTCCTTCTGACATATTTCTGCCAAAAGAAAAAATAAATTGGGTTTTTGCCCCACTCACATGAGCCTTCAACAAGCCTTAACATAAGGTAATGACACTATCCCAATGGACTCAAAAAGTCCAGACACATTAATGATGAAATTTCCTAAAAGGCGGGCAGATCAGAAAAGCTTTGAATAAAAGTTTTTTTAAAAAGGAAAAAGAAACCCAAAGTACTGAGCTACTGTTGCTGCCTACCTTGATCTTGAAAGTCTCATCTCTCCTCATTTTAAACTCTTCCAAAGACTCTTTTCAGTCCCTCTCTCTATATATTATCTGGTCATCAGAGCCCAGAGCTCAGCAGTTAGGCATCAAAGTCCCGACAGCGGGACGGGAGGGGTGTCTGTCTCTCCTTGCCTGTTCCATCCCTGTCTGCGACAGCCACTGAGGGATTCCTGAGGCAGGCCACGGGGCCCCTTGGCTCTCAATTTACACAGAGAAATCCTATCATTTGGCGCTGTTCTGCCGAGCTACCCGCCGATGCCCTGTAAGTGCCCGCTACAACACATTAGACGCTTTTCATCCAACTCTCAGGGGATGGGAGGGAAGTTCAAGGCAGTGTGTCTTGTGTTGGGCTTTGGGGTCAGGAGTGGGAGCCACCAAAAAGCCTTGAAGACAACGTCGGCATGAGTTTGAAGTATCCACACACACATTTTATGAAGATCCTACTACAAAGTGCATGTTCGAGGATGGTTGGTACAAATAAATAAAAGACAACACACACACACACACACACACACACACACTAAGTGAAACCCTGTAGAAAAGAAAAGACAAAGGTTTCGAGTCCGTTTTTGAATGTAGTTACAGCTGTAACTGACTTCAGGTCAGCAGGCAGGTTGTTTCCAAACAGCATCACAGTAACTGACAGAACCTCATGAAACTTAGGATCTAATTCTGGAAACAGTTAAAAGACCTGCACCTAATGACCCAAGAGGTCTGACTGGGTTATAGGCACTAAACCAGTCAAAGGATTTTAAAGGTAATTCTCTGTTAAACTGGGAACCAATGAAATGCCTTCAGTACTGGAATAATATGTTCAAGTTTGCATGTACATGTAAGGACTGTAGCTGGTGCAGTGAGCTTAAGTCATTCTACTGATGATTCTAATAGTCAGTATTAAATAAATAAAGACTTACAACAGTCTAACCTGCTAGATATGAATGCATGGATCAATTACTCAAAGTCAGTTTGAGAGAAGGATTTTCAATTTTGTTTTTATCAATTTAGGTGGATGTAAACAGTCCTCGTGACTTTATCAACATGACTGAGATGACTGTCCAAAATAATGCCAATGTTTTAACCTGCTGACTGTGTTTGAGAAAAAGTGGTGATAAATATGAACAGATTTTCTCTCCTATTTTTAGAACAACAAATATTTCCATCTCGTTTCTGTTCAATTCAGAAATGTTTCTGACTTCCAGCAAATAATGTCATCAACGAATCTTATTCATTTGTGATCGCTATAGCAGTATAACAGCTCACCTTTCTGTGTTTCGGCGATTTTTTTTTTTGTGCAATTTTGAATGCTTTGGGTTTTTTTACACTGTCAATCTCGTGCGAAGTCTCCTGTCCAGTACAGAATACGTTCACCTTGTCAAATTTACATAGATCTTCGATCGCTAGCAGCATTACTCAGAAGTGCTGTACTGCAAGTCTTCTCCCCAACAAACACAACACTGTCGACGAAGCATTTTGCACCGTCAAAGGCACCTGCGGTAGCACCCGAAAGGCAGAGGAAGATGCTAACCATCGCACAAAAAGTTGGACTTCTGGACACAATCAGATAAGTCAAACTTTACTCAACTCATTCTTCTTGCTTCCTCTACTTCTGTACCATTGATTCATTAATGTTGAATTCTCTGGCAGCTGCTCTATTCCCATGTTCTGGACCTGAAAACAGGGTTTGATCTTTGGTTTCATTCTATAATATAATTCTATAATATAATACTATTTTTAGAACGTAACTCCCGCGAAAAACGAGGGAACACTGTACCAAGCAGGAGCATGTGAAGGTTAAAGAGCGATGGACCAAAGAAGGACCCTTGAGGAACTCCCAATGGAATTTTCATTGTGCAGATCTAAAACTGCTAATTGAAACATGAAAACTTGTATCCATTAGGTATGATGGCAACCAGCTGAGAGCCCGACACGTTAAAACCAATTAAATCGCAAAGCTGTTTAATTAAATCATTACAATCAAGAGCCACAAAGTCAACAATGGCATCAAGCGCAACAAAGAAACTCTCTGTGGATCACTGTTGATCTTCAGGTCACTGTTGACTTTAATAAAGGCAGTTTCTGTGCTTCTATTGGTTCTGAAACCAGTTCAGGTGCTTCAGTTGTTTAGTTAAAAAAAAAAAAAAATTAAACTATGAAATATTTTGCTTTGAAAGATAAGATCAGAAGTAGGTCTATAATTATTAATTGCCAATAAATCCAGCTATTTTTCTTCAGTAGTAGTGTGATTGCAACTCAAAAGAAGAAGAAAATAAATTTAAAAAACAAAAATCACCATATTTCATGGTGAGAAGTCTTGACGCGCTCATTCAGTCGGGAACCCATGCGCTTACAGTTTTGCGAGTATTTGTTTTGAAGGCCTCCACTGGATGAGACCAACAGCGTTTAAAAATATGACGACCATAACTCACCACTGACGTGAGCGCCATCTGGAAGCTGTAGATGCGAGCTAGACCAAAGTCAGCCAGTTTGATCTGTCCTCCGCTGGTGACCAGGATGTTTTGGGGTTTTAGGTCACGGTGAACCACGCGGTGCGAGTGCAGGAAGTCTAACCCCTGGAGCAGCTGGTACATCATATCCTGTAAAAGAGCCAAAGAGGGAAACAGAGGGGCAGCAAGGACATAAACTTAATATGAAGTTTAAAAATGGATGGTTTAATTATGAGACTAGTACAGCAACGGCACCATTGAACGCATACAGGGCAAAAAGGGCTGAGCGGATGGTCGTGGATGTTGATTACATTTGCAATATGATTACGTCTGACCTGTTGGATCGTCACTTCCGAAACAGTTTGTGCTAACTGTCTACACAAAGTCTAGGCTGCAAAACCTTGCACAGCTACAAAGATTTGAATCCATTTCTCCTTTGCCCTGAGCAACGAAAGGCCAGAGTGACAACAGCCTGCAGTGAAAAGCATTGTGGTACGGAGGGAGTTAACTAGAGGAGGCCTGCGTCTTTTCTCGCGGCAGATGTTTGATAACTGACACACACACACACACACACGCACACACGCACACACACACACACACACACACACGATAGAGGCAGAAAGAGGCCCCTGCTTTGTACAAGCACAGATCTCTGTTACTCAGCAGCTGTCCTGCTAGATTTAATTGGCACTCGCTCGTTTTTTTTTTCCCTCTTTTTATTTTTTTCAATGCCCCAAAGCTGACCTCAGAAAATAGCCATAGGCACCGCATCGCCCACAACACAAAGGGGAAGGTAAACTGGCATGAGCAGGAATGAACAAAGCAAGCTAAGACTTGTTCTTTTCAAATAGGAATACTCTCAAACAGGTGCCACACCTGTAAACAAAAAAACAAGTCATTCCAAGGGATTGTGATCAGGTAGTTTTGGCAAAGACTGTTTAAGTAAATAAAAGTCGAGGGAGTGGTATTTCAGGTTGAATCCTAAGACCAACTTAAAAGTGTGTGTGCGTGTTTCTTTTTTTAGCCTCGCTTACATGTAGCACACAGCAGAAGAGCTTCAGGCACCTTCTCTGCTGAAAATACTTCATTTGGTTTAGGTGAGATGGGGGCAACACCTGAGTAGACCCATTTGTTCTGGACAATTACCTGGTCCGTGCTCAAGCGGGCATTAAGCAGACTTCGTATAAAGGGAGCTGCAAGTTCAAGTCTGTTTAGCGAAAAGACAGAACGAGCCCCACGGTTGTGCTCTTGGATCTCCGATCGGGTACCCTCTAGAAATAGCCAAGGTTTGCGATCCATGTTTGAACACCCCTTTCTACAGCACCCATACTCCCTCACAAGACACCCCCCCCCAAAAAACAACCCAAAAAGCCCTCCGCCAAGACCTCACAAGTGACATGGACCTGAGCCCGCAGCTCTATTCAGTGGCCGACCAGCTGGTGAGTGAGTCAAAGGGGTCTGCACACTGAAGCAGAAAACATTAGCAAGCAGTGTGGGGCTGGCTGCTGTGCGGGCCACAGAGGAGGAGACAGGGCACCCTGCTCACAATACTGTGCAGATGGGGAGTGATGTGAGTATGTGTGTTTGTATACACAAACTAACAATGTTCCCCCTGGCTTGGTGCAAGTATGAGCGCATCCATTTCCAAATCTGTGTGTGTGTGTGTGTGTGTGTGTGTGTGCACCTCGGTCTGTGTGAGGGTGCATCAGTGTGTGGGTGCCCTCTGACCAAGGACAGGCGGGATGTATAAACAGACCTTCCTTTCTACATCTCCATTGAGCCATGACCTCCCGAGGAGGGCAGCAGACAGACAGGACCATAGGACAGAGGCAGGCAGTTGGTTATTTTGTGTCTGTGTGTGTATATACAGGGTGGGGGGGGGGGGGGGGGCTGACACAATAGCATGGCCCCCCCACCCATCAGTTCCTCTGTGCTTTAAATAGCCATTTCACCATGCTTCCTTTCAACAGCATTTCCTAGTAAATACTAATTATCTCACAAGTGTGACCTTTGGACAAACACATAAACAGTCTTGGCCTCCGCGGCCTGAGTGTCATCTTCTCTGCACTATCAGGTAGAGTCACAGCTGAGTAATGCAAAATATTTCAGCTACGCTCTACATGGTCAATATAACCACTGACAGCAGGCAAACATTAAGTTTATGCATACAAAAATATCGTTTATAACTTCTTAAAATTATAAAGGCCACTTGTGGCATAAAGCGATCCACCTCCCTCAAAGCTGATTCCAGCTGCAGAGAGAAAAGTGGTTCACACAACTGTCTTCAGCTGGCAACGCTTCAAACTAAAAAGCTCCACAAACAACTTGGCCAGGAGGAAATAAAAAAATAAAAATAAAAATAAATAAATAAATCACACAAAAAAAAGCAACAGATCTGACCCTGAAAAAAAGAAAAAAAGAAAGAAAAAGAGGTCCAGAGAGGGAGGGAAAAAAGTAGTCAGCCCATGCAAAAAGCAGTCAAAACATGGCTTTCTGAGTGCGCCTCCTTTTCTAATGCAAATGTAGCAGAGGCAGCCATATTGTTTATTGTAGCCAGGCACAATATGGGACATCTGCCGGTTAGCGTTAGTGTAATTCCCTCCCCATGCTTCATTAACCTCTCTTCTCCCCCTTCTTCGTGGACCCACAGAATAGAGTTGTGGAAGCTTGGATGATGGTGGCGGAGGAGGGTGGGCGAGCCCCAAGCGGTGGCCCGGCTGACGAGCGCTGAGGTTGGGGCAACCTGGCTGCTTGATGTCCTTCCAGCTCATTTGATTCCTGGAGGAGGGCCCCTTGCATCAATGACCATGTGGTGGGTCTCGAGCCTGAGTGGGTGGTGTTGGGCGGAGGGCTGAAGTGGACAGGCTAGGTCAAGGTGGGGTGCTTCGTGCTGCGGTAAGACCGACTTTGAGAAAAACTATGCCTCTCCTTTCGGAGTTTAGGGCCACTGGTTGAAGGTAAATGTTTTTTCACGGTTAAAGGTGGACACGTTCACACACTCAAGGGTAACTGCCATTTAATCAGATGGGCACCGGTGACACACGTCTGGACCGGGATTCAAAATCTGGAGTTGTTTTGGGGGGAGGGGATCCCCTTCGAGTTACTGTGGAGTGTCCACTGTCCCAGCAATAACGGGGGATGGTGCCTGGCTGCCTCTGTAGCATTGTCGCTGTCCTTTTGTTCCTTGAGGCCTCAGCTGTTAGGAGAAAGCAGAGCCTGGGAGGGGGCTTAAGGGGTGGCCACATTGTTCAGAGCCCCAAAACGCCTCCTCAAACTTTTCCAACGTCAGATATGTCCAAGCACGGATAGCGTGGATGGTTGGACGGGTTGACATCTTATAAAACCGGCAATCCCACAAGTAAGCCTACTTCAAGTATTGTCAGGCCAGGTTTGCAGAGTTAAGAAAGCTGGCCAAAATGTAACTTCTCTGTCTTCTTTCCTTTCCAGTACAAACCACTTCCTCATCTTTTCTTGAATACTGAGCACAACAACACAGGCTTCTTAGTGGAGGTATGTACCAGTGTCCAGATGTTTCAACACGGCTTCAATGTGAACAGACCGTTGACACATCTTCACACGTGGTCTGAGACTAAAAGAGGGGAGCGCTTGTTCACTACAGTCGTATTCAGTGCAGTAGCCTCTACACTGCCACAGAAAGAATCTGAGTCATTCGGGGTTTATGATCAGTCCTTTCGTTGATTAATTGGTTGAGTCCTATGCGACAAGTGGTCAGAGATCTGCAACCATTGGTTCGGCCATTTAACAAGACAAATAAGCAACAATCTTTTGATAAAACTGCACATTTTTACTCCATCCACTGGCACTACAATTATTAAGGAGTTGTTTTTAAATTAAATTAGCTAAATTCTAACCGAGAAAAGGACCTTTCTTCCCACCCTTAACTTCCATTAAATCCCCTTGGGCTATGTCCTTATTTTCAGTTTATTAAAAAAAATAAAATATAAATAGTTAATACAGCTTCATGGGACTCAAAACAACTGACTAGCTAATAAGGATTAACCTTCTGCTGAAACGGACTCAAAAACTGAAAGTAGCTATACATAATGATTGTGAAAATTTCTGAAGCGTCGAGTTTCCAGAAAAACGCTGCAGTATTATAATATCTGCTGCAGACGTGATCGGCGCACACATCACAGAAACCACAGTCTGTATCAACTTCGGCAAAAGTCATGGGAAAGCCTCAGGTGTGATCTACCCGACTCGTCTACGCTTGCACTGCATCCCACTGACAGCGCGGCTCGACACAAAGCTTTCACAAGCGAACCCAGGCCCGGGGTGATGATCAGCGGTTGCCGTAGCACCCGAACCTCTCCGTTTCAAATTTGACACTTCAAACTCTCGAGGCTCCTCTGTCTAAAAAAAAAAAAAAAAGAGATATACCTTTCCAATATTATTCATGACACATCAACTGACCTTGGGGTGAAACCCGATAAAGATCTTCTTCTTTTTTCTTTTTAAATGTTTCCCACACGAACTCCACTTTTTTTTTTCTTTTTTTTTATATAAAAAGAGACCATAACAGAGGAAAGGAGCTACTTCCGACCTTTTGGCAAAGTGTAACTGGATGCTCAGTGGATTTATTTAACAAATTTCCCTATTCAACAACTTTTAGCACACAACTTAGAGGGCTCTGTTTTCAAAGACACACATGGAAGATTTTTAAAACTGGCTCTGTGTCTGTAATATTGTGTAAAGTTGGAGAGAAGGGTGAAAATAGAGAAGGCAGGGATCCTTTAATTTGGAGCCCATCTGCCACATGTGCTGCCCCTCAGAGTGCCCCAGTAACTCTGATGTTGGAGGGAACTGCTCTGCCTTCTGGGTCTCTGGCCAAGAAAACCCACTCAGAACCATAGAAACATGGCTGTGTTCAACCAATGCTACAGCCGCAGGAGATTAACCAGGCGCGTCCTATATACACTTCAAACAGAAATAATATTTAAAATAAGCCTCCTTGGGATTTTTTTTCTTGGAATATTGTGTAATAGGCAAGCACACACACATTTATAGTGATCATTAAAATGGAAAAAAACAAAACAAACTGCATTTACATTCCACTGTAAACCTAAATTAGAACGACAGCGGTTACCTTGATGGTCTCAGGCGGTACTCCAGGGTCAGGAGCCTTTTCCAGGTAGGTGGTCAGGTCCTGATCTACATGCTCAAAGACCAGAGTGAGTTTGGTTTCTCGGTCAGTCCGAGAGACTGTGCACACATCAAACAACCTAGGATAGGAGAACAGATGGACCAGATCAATACAACTGATTAAACGGGGGTGCACTAGGCTAAGCTCACTGCTGCTACACAAGGTAAGAGTACATCTACACAACATCAAATATTGCCCACAGGCTCTTATTACTATATAGACTATAATTAATCACCTTCTATAACAGACTGTAATTTAAGATTTCAGATTCTTATGCCCCATCAGTGAAGTAGGTAGGGTACTGCATTTGTTTTAGAGTATGAACACAACAATATATTATTAATATTGTAATATAGTATTTTAAATAAGAAGTTTATGATACCAGACAACGGTGTAACTAAAGATATTATCAGCAGTGTTGGGGACTAACGGAATACATTAACTCCTCTCTCTGTCTCTCACTAGCAAAGTTGACCCAGACAACAAAGTAAAGCTAGTTTTTGACTACAAGCCCGACACTGACCCGACGTATTAACTTTACTACGGTTTGGAGCCGCAGACCTGTTTTATATACGCGGGAAACAGTTTTCTATACAAGATGGCTGCAAAAAGTGCAGCTTTACCTAATGTCCACCCTACTGTTACTCATTTTATATTAAGATTTAAAATCTAGTTGGTATTGGTATGGCAAGTATCCTTCAGTAATGGTAATAAATCACACAGCAATAGTACATTCATGTAGTTGTAAAAAGCATGATAATATATTATGTAATCCAAAGTATTCAGAATACGTTACTCTCATTGAGTAACGTAACGGAATACGTTACAAAATGCTTTCTGGGGCATGTATTCTGTAATCTGTAGTGGAATACATTTTAAAAGTAACCTTCCCAACACTTATTATCAGTAACTGATCAGGGTCATTATGATGGCTAAATGTCAGTGTGTTTCCTGCTATGACAAGTGCTAATGCAAAAGCACAACCAGTTTTCTTAAATAGATAAAAAGATACTAATTAAAATGTATTAACAACCTAGCTTTGAATAAAAATGTTCCTCATATTAAAACCAAGAAATGAACCTGTATCTACCACCATCGCCAAGTTTTAAAGAACGGGACTGCTCATGTTTTCCACTGTGTTTCATGACCTTTTCTTTTAACAACACTTAGTTGTTTTACTTTTGAAATTAAAAGGTTTTTTCCATTCTCGCTCGATGCAGAAATTGGCCTGATCAACACTTCCAGGTGTTCTTTGTCATATTTATTTCACTCAATAATGTGCCAGATGTTTTAAGTGGGTGACAGGTCTGGGCTGCATGGAAGCCAGTTTAGCACCTGGTCTCTTTCACTGAGCCACGCTGTTGTAATATGCGTAGAATGTGGTTTGTCATCATCTTGCTGAAATCAGTAGGGGTGTAACAATACTTCAAAACCACAGGTTGGTTCATACCTTGTCATTTTTGTGCCTTAAGACACAGGATCGTCCTGTTTTTGTCTTTTGAGATGGTTTAAAACACCCCTATGAAAAAAAATCCTCCAATAAAACCATCATAAAAGCTGGGATATGAACTCATAAATCTGGACCCCCGATTTATCCTATGGGACGATAACAACATCTCCAGCTACGGCCACTGCTTTTTTGCAAGCCTTTTAAAACTTTAAGACTATTGAGCCTTAAACACGAGCGCCTTGGTTTCCCAAGGCGACCAACTAAGGCCAAGCATCCAAATTATGTCAGTAGACCTGCCAAGGAAGGCTTTGATGAAAAGCTGGAAAGGAAAAAAAAATCTATCCAGTGTGTCCTCTTCAAAGAGCACGGGACTACAAGCAGCATTCCTCAACCAGCACTATGACAACTCCTGACACGCTATGGGACGTCTAGTGGAGCCTGCCTGCAAAGGCAGCATCTTTCATCGTGACAACATAGAAGACGAAAAGCGCCTTGATGGATCTCCACCGAGCACATGTTGCATTGTCATTAAGGGGGTTAATATATGCAAGAGAGCAAAAACTAAACCATTATTTTCTTTCTCTTCTTCAGTCTACGATATAGTTTTTTTAGCCAAAAAAAAAAAAAAAAAAATGTTCAAATTAACAGGTTAAAGTTACATTTTAAGTGTTACTCGTTTAAAAGATATTTTGAGTTATCCTAATATTCAGAGTTTATTTTAACTTTGAGTTGTCCTAATGGACAAGTATAAAATTATTACAAGCCCTAATTAAACTCAAAGTTTGGAAGTTTGCATTAGTTATGAAGACGGAAACTAAAAAGTAAACATTTTCCTCAAAAACTAATTTAGTCCTGTGGAGGAAAAAGTTTTGACTTAAGCTGCCAAAAAACTTGAGATAAAAAATAATGAAATAAGAAAAGCTCACTGGCTTCATTCATGATCGTTGCTGTACTCGTTATATTCATGAGGTACCGTATTAATCCAGTGTGACAACATCTTACACTTTAATGCAGGCACTCATTTAACTTACCTACAGTTGTAAAAGCACAGAAAAGAAATAACTAAATCTCCCTGGAAACTTGTTTACTCCTCAGAGAGGCATCATTTGTCCTTGCCAACAACCTGGTAATCAATGGGTTTGGTCATGCTGGAGTCAGAGGAGTGAGTGAGAGGCGATTCATTCAAGGTATTAGTACTGTGCATGATGTCAGAGAATAGAAGGCGCCCTCCTTCTGAAGCACTGGGGTTAAACGCCCCTCACAGCTCGATTGTTGGCCTACAATGGAGGCTTTTAGCAGACACTGAACATATGGAATGAATAATGGGCCTCATTACAAACATCCAGGGGTTGCCTGGAGTCACACAGAAGGCCCACAATGCACTTTTCCTGGCCCTGTGCTGCTTGGCTATGCTAGTTGGCTAAACTCAAGGGTAGAGGAGTTTCTCCGATGCTTTAAAGAGCTGCTGGTTTACATGCTTTAACAAACAAATGTTGCTGCAAAATATGGAAAGCGTCTAGTGAAGCAAAGTGTATCCATCCATAAATATAACTGACCAAAGATCGTTTTAATACTTGCTTACATGTCCGTCTTCCAGTAAGGACAAACCCCCACTGTGGACCCATTAAGCGAAAGCCACAACCATTATCCTCCATTATTCATTGATACGTTGGGGAATTATTGTTAGAGTCACAAGGGCACAAGCCATGCCTCTAAAACATCCATTTAGAGCTTCCCCTTCAATCCCAAAGCACTCGATATTCAGACTAAAACAAGCACAAGGTCAGACCTTGGCTTGTGCCAGCATGTGACGCAGTATCAGAGTCCTGCTCTCTCAGTGAAAAGTCATTACAAAAACCAAAAGAAAATGGCATCTGTGTGCAAAACAGTCAGAAGGAAAACTAGAAAAAAATAGCTTCTTTTGTTTTTAAATATGCAGTATTGCCAACTGGCATTGATCGTGCCAAGTGTCATACTGGAGGCCATTTGGATAGGATAGAACAGTACTGATGGGCACATGAGTTTAACTACAGAGACAGTTATGGAAACGCCAGCACATGATCTCACTAAATCAACATGGGAACAGCTTTAATGTGCGTTCACATTGATCCTACAAGTCTAAGAAACTGTACTGGGGGGATGGACACCATTCTTCTGAAAGACCTGGTGTTGTGATGATGATGATTATGAAGACCAGGCAAAAATCTCCAAAAGGTGTTTAGTTGGGCAAAAAGCCCAAACCCTTGGTGATCCCTGGAACCCTGCAGACAAGGGTCATCCTGGAAGGGATCACTGCCATGCTACAGAAATCACACCGAGAGAAAGTTGATCTTTAAGGTTGATTTGTGGTCAAATTTCACTCCAAGAAGCCATGTCTCACTTATCAAATACAAACCAGTGACTGTGGATATATCGATTTAACGAAGGATTTATACTCTGCTGTTTAAGTAATCAGTAATAGACCGTTTGTGCTTAGTCACCTAAGGAAGAGTGGCTCATCGTTTTTTCCTGGCATATCACATTGCATGCATAATTCATTAAATGTGCAATGTAGACCACAATTTCCAACCATATTAACTACTGTTCATCTAGATTTAAATGCAGGCTTGCCAACTGAGGAGTCTTTCTGATGTATTTGCAATCAGTAGCCCTACAATGACATTGTTCAAAGTCGCTTAGATCTTTTTATCTTCTTGATGCAGAATCATAATCAGCATTACCACGCATGCCAGAACATGGCGGGATGTTTATTTGATTGTTAACTGTAAAATTCAAAACATTTGCTCTTAAACTTTTTATTTATTTCATGCTTTTATTTTGTTTGTCACACTTCTGTAGGCTCTCTAGATCAAATGTATCTCGCTGGTTGGAAAATCATGTATACCCATTTAAAAAAAACAAAAACTGAGTACATACCACATAGCACAGACCATTTTAAAGTCTTCGTCCAATGAAAATCATTACATGCACACATGTTAACATGTGATTATGGTGTTGTTGACTACTCCCCTTTCGTCATGAGTGCATAAGCAGTCAACGGCATGGCTGCGCAGGCTTGCCAGTTTCAAACACGTGGATTCAGATTGCCAGGGTTTCACATACCTAACAGAGTCATCTTAAATGGGAAAATTAAGCGTTTCTGTTTAGCTTCTGTTGTAACAGTTAAAGAAAAAAAAAAAAACAAGGTAACTGCTGGTTAAGCAAAACAATTGACTGAGAAATGTTACAACAATCCTCACCTAGTAGGCAACGTAATGTCATGTGGAAACTTAAAGGTTTCACTGAATGCAATGTCTTGTATCAAGTAATCCTGGGATGAGAAATATTTTGAGTGTTCTTAAGAGTATGGATTTCTAAGCAGGTAATTTCAGTTTTCTTTTGTCTTTTTGAAGATATCAGTATTTTTATAAATATTCCAAAATGTGAAAGGAGGTCCGAATGTTGAACGGCTACATTGTATGTCCGATGGAACCTCACATGTCTTCACCATTCCTAATATCAAAGGGATCTTGACCAAGCACCCCTAAACACATAAGCATGCAGGTCTCGCTTCATTCTGCAAGTCAGCGATAATAGAGGCTAGGGTAGTGGAAAACCACCGCTTCCGAAGGATGCTGCTGCATCTTATCTATAGATGAAGATTTGCACACATGAAATATGCATGAGGTGACAAATGTGACTGGTGCCAACCAATCAAGATAAACCGGGGCGGGCTTTTGAACTAAACAGGAAGTTGAGAATGCACAGGTGTGCGCCTAAAACCTGCTGATAGTGACAGCCTCCAGTGTGTTGTTGTGGAGCCTGTGTTGCCTGCAGGAAACTAAAAGGGCCACCAGCTTCAGACAAGTCTGCAAGCAGGCTTTGCCACCAAAGGTCATATAAGCCATCACAGATGCCACAAGAGACCATCAAAAAGGAAGTAATGTATACTTAGTCTCATATGCATATTTCTTTCACCACCACCACGATCCCCCCACCCCTCCCCTCCATCCTGTCTCTTAAACATAAAGCAGGTTGGTTCCCCACCTCCGCTCACCCCTCACTTACCTGACAACATTGGGGTGCTCAAAGGCTTCAAGCTGCCTCAGCACCGCCACCTCGCGGATGGTGGAGAGCGGCATGCCTTCTTCCTCCGTCTGGACACGAACTCTTTTTAGGGCAACAAAGCGTCCCCCGTTCTTCAAATCTCTCGCCTTGTACACTTTCCCGTAGGCGCCTTCTCCAATCTCGGCCACAGGCTCATACTGAGTACCAACACTTTCTTTGTCCATTTTTGCAGAATTCCCCCCCCCCCTTCTTCTTCTTCTCTTGTTGAAAATATTGCGGGGAATCCCGGGCGAGGATGACGAGCCAGACTCTCTTACAAAGGCATTTTCAGAGAAAAAAGGTGGCACATGCAATGCCTAGATGACAGGGAGACACAGATGGGGGAAGACACCATCTTTGTCAGATTTGGTCAAAGAGTGCTCCAGGTAGGCAATAAAAGGACTGTCATGATGTTTTATTCCGACTATCAAAATGAAAAAAAAAAGAAAAGAACCGCTGCGTCCCAAGTTCCACTCCTCCTCCTATTACGCACTGCAGCTCATGTCCTCCTACCTCTAACATAAAACTAATGTGAAAAATAATTAAAATTAATCCCAGTTAACCCCTTTCAAGGCTTGCTTTGCATCCAATAATTTGTCTCGTGCAATCAATAATTCACCCCGCATGCGGTGTTGCTCATGTAATCTTCGCACGAGCTGTCTCGGGTTTTTTTTTTAAATTATTTGTTATCACAACATGCAAAAATGACCATATATTTCACCCGCTTCTTCGTTTTACGCCAGCAACAAGATCAAACTAGCAGCCCTCCCTGTGCTGGTTTGTCAAAGTTTCTCTTTGAGGACACCCAAACTTGCGAGCACGTGGCTGCATTGTCTGAACTTCCTACAGCAACAATCCATTTAAAACCCCTTAAATGTCGCTTTCCGAGCCCGAAACGGTTCGAAATGTGTGAAACGACACCGCATCCGAGTTTCAAGTGTGTTTTCATTAGCCTGGGTGGCTTTCCCGAATTTTTTTCCAATTTATTTTGTGCGTGGACGCAAAGTGTGCCAAATAATGGCTTACATTCTAATAAATCGGGGAATTGATCATGTCACCGTTTAAAACCTCATTGGGTTGCAAAGCAAGCATTGTCAGGCTCATAAAGACACTTTGTTTTGCACAAATATCTGCATAAATATGCCCACTTTCAGCGTTTACCTTGTTTTATGTTGTCAATACAACGTCGCAACGTCGGCATGCCCGGTATAACGCTGAGGACGCTTTCGTGTGTCGGATAAAAACTGCTCCGTCAAATGCATCCCTGTCCACTTTCCTCCATGCTGGGGCCACACAGGTAGTTGACGGTGCAGGCTCTAACCCCCCATCCCCTCAGACTACACCAGCCCAGGCAGACACCAAAATCGAGCGGAGGAGGAGGTGGCGGCGGTGGTGGTGGGCCGTACGCAAACTTGCGCGCACACACTCTCACTTCAAGTTTGTGTGTGGAGGGGAGGGGGTGTATGATTGGGAAGGGGGGGGTCATAGGACAAAGGCAAACGCGTGATATAGCCCTCCAGAACCACGCTCTTCTTTGGATTTTCTCCTTTCTTTCTTTCTTCGTTTTTTTTTCTTCCATATATCCGCGGATAGGCCTATGCAACTGCAGCCTCGCTCGCCTTGTGTGAGCTCCGTCTCTGCCTGGCTTTCCCACGCCGGCTGAATGTGGCCTGACCCCCTTCAGAGAGGTTTGACACGGAGCGGGGACATTTCCGCATTCCTCCCCGACTACAAAGGCACACCGCCTCCTTTTGCTCTCCCTCGGCCTCCTCGGTGCTTTACCATTCATAGTCCTCTCCGCGGGTTTTGTCTCCTGTGTCAAAACCGGGAGCACGCAGAGATCGGGGAGGGGAGAGAGGAGGTTTGTTAGATGGACGGCCACACTATCTCCCTCAAAACTATTGAGGAGCTCCTGCGGCAACAATGCACCAGCAAGAATGCAATGTGACAAGCTCGCCCTAGATGAGCCGGAGGGGTCAGGTTCAAGGCCCGGTGGCTTGATCTGTGGCAGGGGGAACCCCCCTCTGCTCCGGTGGTCGTTTGCAAGGCATAACTAATGAACCTGTTTGTTTATTTATTTTAGAAGTTGGACATTTCTACAGAGTATCAGCTTCATCTTCACATCAGGATGAACCTCTGATTTATTTAATCTAAAAGGAGACGTTAAGAAAAATCTACAAATCCGTTTTTATGCATTAAAAGAATTATTATTAAGTTTTTTCTGATCTTAAAATTGTACCAGCATCTTCAGAAAGATTTGTAAGTCAATCAGCAAATTGTAGAATTTATCATTAGTTACTGCTTTATTTGAGATTCATGTTAGTCCACGTTTTTTCTGACATCTGAATATTTTCTTAAAAAAATAAATAAAAATACATTTGTACAGATAAATGTATATATTTATCTTTTATAATTAAATATTAGTAGAGCTAAGTTTATTTTCATCTTCACAACTTATTTATAGTGAATACATATAAATCAAGAATATTAAGAAAATTTAAAGAAACCACTAAAAACAATTTTTAAAAACAAGAAGTAGTTTCAAGCTTTAAATGCTATAAATTTGACAATTATTATGGTAAATTTCCTCTTTTTTAACTCTCGTGCTTAAATATTTAAATTAGTTTCAAATTCCAACAATTTCATGTAAATGATCAAATTTTTACTTTTTTGTATGAAAGAGTCAAAAATGTATTGTTTTGCTTTTTTCCTTCTACTTCTGGACAAAGTTTAGATGTGACAGCACTTGATGTCAGATTGTCCCAATGAATAGCCAATTACAGGCGTGTAAGTAAGCCCCCCCATGATCATGCTTTCATTGGAACCCATGTTTTCAGAGAGTCATAGATGATCACAAGAAGGTCATTATCCCGGTGCTATGATTTTCATGCAAACTTGTCTTCCATGCTGTTTGCAGAGTTCCCCGATTCCCTGTGAAAAGGTAAAACTTTGGGGGGGATAATGACATGGAAGTATCTATGTCAATCTCCCTCCGCCCAGCCTTGTACGCAACCCCACATTTAAATAATTTGCATCACAAAAAACGCACAGTGCAGACAGAGTGTCCCAGACCAATTACTGTAAATGGGGACGTTTACATTTTTTCATCATCATTGTTCGTGTGAAATCAGCTCTGAGAGCCATCGCCCAGATTGAATACATTAGCAAACATACTTCTGATCTGGCTGGAAAACAAACCAACTAGATATGTTGAGTGCAGTATAGAGATGAGAGAGTGACACAAACCTCAAACGTTCACACACACAAACACACTTTCTGAAACTGTAACCGTGTAACTCCACGACTTCTACAAATTACTCAATAGCTAATTCATAAAGTTCCCAAGCTTGTTTTGTTTTTGTTTTTTTCTCATGCAGGAACTGTCAATGACAGGATGGTCCAATTAAGAACATCCTGCTTTGGGACTAGCACGATCGGAATTTGATCTGATTTGATGTTTAATGCATGTATGAATACACGTACTTTTTCATAAAAATAAGAAATTGGAAAAAAGATTGGCCAAGGATTTCATTTATGCTAACTTTCGCCACACTCAGTTTAGCTGCTCTTATATAGAGACATCTTTAAACACTCTAATTTTCTGAATTTATTATTAAGACTTTATTATGAAAAAATTAAATTCCCCCCCCCCCCTTTTCAAAATAAAACCAGTGGCAGTGTACAGGATTCTGACACACGCTTGCTAATCTTAATTTACAGAAAACAATGTGGATGATACTCATTTTTAAAATTTTCTCCAATTTCTCATTTTTAATAGTTTTTTTAAATAAAGGCGTTCATGCTGTGTTAATCAGAATAACCACAGTTTCCTTCAGAAAAATTAGAAAACTCAAAAAGGATTATTTTTCATTATAAGTAAATGTTCTGCATTCAAAATTCTACTTTAATTTAAAGTTTAGTAGTTGCGACACTAAATTGCACTCAAATATTTGTAGTTGTGTAGTAAAATGATATTCTGTAACAAAAGAAAAAAAATACCTATAAGGGTCTTATTCTGTGTGAAAATATTAGGCATTTAACAATATTTGGCTGTTGCTATTTTCTATGATGAGCCTACATTCGGCATCATAGGGTTGCAGATTTTTTTGAACTTCCCTATTTTATGAAATATTAGATAATTTAGGGAAGTTAACTAGGAAGTTTTGGGGGATGTTGCTAACACTCACAAGAAAACCAGACAAAAGGCAGCATGCATTTGCTGTAAAGGATTGTTTTTAAGACAAAAAGCCTGAAACCACCAGTTTCATCTCTGAGAATGTGTAACTATTAAGAAACTGAGTTTATGCTGAAGCAAAGCCAAACACCCGAGCTTGCTTTTCATCTCAATTTTCCTGAGAATTTACATTTGGCATTCGTATCGTGGAGGAATGTTTCTTAACAGAGCCACTCCTTTCATGTTCTTGAAAACAAGAACAACAACAAAAAAGTTTGGGGATTTAGCAAGTAAAATTCCTTATTACCGTATCATTGTGCGACCCTATTTATTGACAGGTTCGCACAATTGTTACGAAAGGTTGTCGGGACATTTCCTCAGGTATGAACAGCTGGCAGCTTTGTCTGTCTGTGATAACACAGTGTGAGAGGTTTGGGGCAGGACTGCTGAATCAGGAAAAGGTGAAACCAAATAAGGAATCAAGTATCAGGCAGGCTCTGTTAAACTTTCTAATAACTCCTGGTAAATTATCTATAAAGGTATACGGCTTTTTCCCCTCTTAAACTCATTAAAGGGTTCAACTAAAATGAAAAAGCATAAAAAAGGAAATGTACAGGACATTAAAAAAAGCTTAAAGGCTTAAGTCAGCAAAACACTCCAGTGGGTCCCCCTGTAGGTTAATCACTGCAAGCAGTTGCTTTTAGATTACTTTTATAAAAAAGATAGATTAAAAAATATATACGTATTTAAAATCTGTATTGGTTACATTTGGAATAAGAGGAAAAAAAGAGAAAACGTCAAAAGAGAAGACAAATCATTTATTAACTGTCATGAAGAAGAAGAAACCCAGAACACGGCCTTAATTGAAACCAGTTCACACTGCAATTTGAAGTCGATTTGAAGTAGTCATACCAAACTGCTGCTTTAAGCACCCCAACAAGGCCATTTCTATCTTTCACTCTGACTCTAAAACGTAAAAGAGAATGCAGTATGTTTGTGTGTGTGTCCGCACGGCAGCTGCTGATCAGCCTGGCCAAGAGAGAATTACGGCCCTCCCGTGGGGGAAGAGAGAGGGGCCAACAAGGGACAGGTGACTCCCAGTCTCTCCCAGATCTCCTTACACCCACCCACCACACAACACACACACCACACACAACACACACAACACACACACACCACACACACAAACACACACACACACACACCATAGCACACAATGCACACAGAGGGAGAGAATTATGATTGTGGGCTGGTCTACCATGTCCCACTATAACAGAGGGGGATGTCCATATCACAAGGCAGAGGGTACAGTAAAATTAAGCCTTTAGGCAAACAGCTGTCTCACCTGGGGAGAAAGCTGATATGATGTGTGATATCAGATGCCTTTCTAAGCCCTCAGTCCCATTGTTGGGATTTACAAGCATCACTTAGTCTGCAGTTTTGAACCAGCCGTCAGCAGCTTGATATTTAAGTGACATTTTGAGCGTGAAGACAGAGGCCGGCGTGATGCGAGCAGACAATCCGACTCTGTTCTGCGTCTCTGACTTGATTTCCTTTCTCTCGTCCAACCAGCGTTAAGTCCAGAGTGTTTGGTAGAACTAAAGCTCCTTCTCTCTTCTTCCCCTGTCCTCCTCTTCTCCCCGCCACCGGCCCCCAGACACAAGCCTCTTTCTGTTGGGGCATCCCCATGGCAACCAAGCCACTAACTTGAGGAGACGACATAAAAACCTGCTCTTTTAGGGGACACAGGGACACCTGCTACCTCCGCCGTTGGGGAGGGCCTGGGCCTGGACGCAGAGCCACGTGCAGACACAATCACATACAAATTCATGTGGTCACAAACGCGCACACATTTCCGCACAAACATAAACAGAGGGTCAGTGTGACATTCAAATGAGGCCTCAAGCTAGCATCTGCTCCCCTTTGGACGCTAATCTATCTTCCAATAACATTTCAGGTTGTTTTGGTGGCTTTTATATGTTATGGTAAAAGGAAAAAAAGAAAGAGTTCAATGGAAACAAAAGGCTGATTGTTAGTTTTAGTCTACAAATTTTTTTAATGTCTCAATCTTTGTAAGCTTCTATCTTTTTAGACAACAGTAGTTTCTCTAGCAAACAAAAAAAAAGGATCTAAGAGACTGGCATGCACCTGCTCTGCTTACCGTCTAGGTTTTCTATACAATATCCATCGAAATACTGAATTTCTATGTAACAGTTCACCTCATCAACCCCAGCAAACATTTCAGCATTGAATAACTCTCACCCGAAAGTCCAGTCTTGAAAAATACACTTCATTAGGCACAACTCCCCAACTGCTCATTAATGCAAAAATCTAAACAGCCAAACATATGCCAGCAACCCAAATGTTTAGGCATGTAGTCATGGTCAAGTCGACCTGCTGAAGATCAAAGTGAGGATCACAATAAGGAAGAAAGCTGATTTAAGTGATCTTGAACATACCAGAGAGCGGTAGCTATCTGAGTGAAAATGCTTTGTTAATGCCAGAGGTCAGTAGAGAATGGCCATACTGTTTCAAGCTGATAGGGCAACAGTAACTCGTTACAATCAAAGTATGCAGAAAAACATCTCTGTAGGTGCTGA